CGGCTTCTGCAGCGTGCCTTGCCTTCCGCGCTGTGTTGGTTGAATCGGGTGACTCACATCTCACGCCTTCCAGACAATCAGGAATCATGTTGCGCGAGGAATGGTGGCTATCTAGCTACAGTAATGTTGTCTCCATGGTCCCCTCGTCCGCTTGCTTGCTTCTCCCTCCCCTCTCCCCTCCTTGCTTCAACCACCACTCTCACAGCGACCGCCACTTGAAATTCCAATCGCAAATAAGCAAGCATGCCCTTGTTCCTTCAATGCTATCTCTTGTTCAGGCTGTCCCATTAGGGATCAATGAATGTGAGCACAAAAAACGTTAACGCTGCTACGAATTTAACTGCAATCTCACTGCAACCTTTTTTTTCACGCGAATCAGTGGTGAACCTGTTTCGTAGGTTCCAGCAAGCACTGTCGCGAATCAGTGGCACTCTCTCTCAACTATCGCTCGACTGAAAAACAAAGCCGAAATGGCACCGCCAGACTCGCCTCGCTCCGCCGCGCCGACGACAAACGCCTGTTACCTCGCTCACGAGGTGCGCCCCTTAATGCCTTGTTAGGAACTGCACGCGATGCCTTGTAAATCTCGACAGGCGGTGCCTTGTAATACACGGCCTTTTGCGTTTTGTCTGCGAACGCGTATCAAGCCTCGGAGTTACACGAGTGTCCCATGCCTCGTGCACCTCACTCGCGTCGCCACCGTGCAGGCTCCCGCTGTATTTCACGAGAGCTGTTTGATTTGCAAGGGTTTTATGAGAAGTTTCCAAAACACTGCCTCTTAGATACTATCAAACACCCCTCACAAGTCTCCCTCGTTACGCTGTCCTTCCTCTCTCAAGCGCCGCCTTCCACGCGAGTCACGCCCGTGTCATTCTCGTTACAACCATCTTGTGCCCTCGTTTCTCGTTACAACCATCTTGTGCCCTCGTTTCTCGTTACAACCATCTTGTGCCCTCGTTTCTCGTTACAATCATCTCTTCCGCCCATCTCTTCCTCATCTCCCTTCAGGTGCCTCGATGGATCGCGTCGCATTCAACCGCACCTGCTACAGTGCCAGTCATTCCCGCCGCAATAGCTGCTGCGACTCCGTTCCCCTGCCTTCCCGCTGCGCTCAAGCCGCTCCCGTTCTCCGCGCTACCCACCGCCGCCACCGCCGCGACAACCGCGACCACGCTGGCTCCCCTCACGACCTCCCTTCCGCTTTCCCCCCCGTCTTCCGCCCACCTTCCGCCTCCGCCATTCTCAAATCTCCTCTCATCCGGGTCCGCGCATACGTTTCTCCGCCCACGCGCATCTTACGCCGTCGAGCGTGCCGTTCCCGATGCGGACAACCCAATTTCAACCTTCCCCTTCTCCACGCAACAGCCAGGAAGCTTCATCTGCCACCCGTCCCCGTTCTTCCCGGGATATCCCCCGCCGCTTCCGCCGACCCTTCTTGCCGCCGCATCCGCGGATTCCGCCTCCACCGCCGCCGCCGCCGCCGCCTTACCGTCATTTCCCGATGCGTCCCCTATGCTTGTGAGGCCGCGACCTCGCAACGCGACGGTCGCGCTGCCGCTAGTCATTCCTGGCCAGTCAGATGCTCGCAGGATGTTCGATGAGTCCGATGTCGATGCCGCAGCCCACGGCGCGAATCCCGCCGCATTCGACGGCGCGGATCCCGCGGAGGTTGCCGCTGCTGCCGCCGGCGCCGAGCTGGGCGCGCGCGAGCTCGCCGCGATTCGCGCGGTGATTTTGCGACACGAAGCCGCGTTCCGAGAGCAAGTTGCGGAGCTGCACGCGATTTGCGGCGTGCAACGCGGGCTGATGGCGGCGACGGTGAGTCATCCCTCCGACGACGCACCGCGTACCGCGGCGACAGACGCGGCGACAAACGCGGCGGGGCAAGAGGCAGCGAGGGGCGAGAAGGAAGCAGGGAACGACGATATGGGGGTAGGTTCGAGAGGCGCGGATGTGGGGGGAGATGGCGGAGTGCGGGCAAATATGGCGGAACAGGATAACCAGCGGCAAGGAATGGCGAACCGCGCGGGAATGCTTCTCTTCGATTTGGAGCAGCTTCCTGGAAACGACGAGGGGGAGGCGGCGGCGGAGGAGGAGAATGTGAACTTGTGCGTTCGAGACGCACGCGCTTCGTCGATTGCGTCACCTGCGCCGTTCCTAGCTGTTGCGCCTGCGCGCACGCCGTCGCCTTCCGCCGTCCTCACGACCCCGCTCGCGCACTCCGCCATCGGAGTTCCGCCTCCGCCAGTCCTCGCGCCAGCTGCTGCAACATGTTCCGCGGACTCGAGCGCGGGCAGTCACGCGGGGCGTTGCCGCGGAGGAAGTCGGAAGAGACAAACCCCGTGCGATAACAACGCGGCCAATGGGCGGAAGGCGGAAAGCTCTGGCGCGCACGGGGCGCCTGCGGAGAGCGACGCCACGTCAGCATCGGGCGCGTTGGACACGCATGGTAACAGCACTCCACGTCAGCGTGTTGCGAAGAAGCAGAAGCGGGAAGGCGGAGGGGGAAGCGGAAGGGGCGGAGGGGGCGGAAAGGGCGGAACGAAAGGGAGAGGAGGAGCCGGAGGAGTGGGAGGTAGTATCTTGACAGGCAGATCTGCCGGCCCTCCGTCCCCGCAAATCTCCCATTCACATAACACCTCCCCCAGTATCGCCTCTCCTTGTTATCCCTCCACGGCCTCCCTTTCGCCTGCTCTGCCGGCTGTTGTTGCAGCCCAGCCGTCACAGCCACCCCAGCCGCCCCAGCAGCAATATCACCTGCCTGGACTGCCAAATTCGCTTCTCAACCACCACTCTCCCCTCGCTCCCTCCGCGCCCTCCTCCCTTCCACCGTCCGCCCTTCCCTTCCACCCGTCATTCCCCTTCCCCTCTGCCTTCACGCCTCCATTCCCTCCTCCCACACCCCCCTCCAATCTCGCCTCCCCCTCCGCCCCACACCTCTGGTCATACCCATACCCACCTGCGGCACCAGCACCCGCAGCAGCAGCGTCAGCAGCAGACATGGCATCATCTGCAGCAGCATCACCAGCAGCGGCAGCGGCGGCAGCAGCAGCAAACGCGAGCAGTCTCTTTCCTGGCGGCTCATCCTTCACCGGCTGTGCTTCTGGCGCCGCTGCTACAATGGCTGCCAGCACCGCTGCAGCAATGAGCAGCACAGCTGCTGCAGCCACGGCAGCAGCTGCTGCTGCTGGAGGGACGTTTGTCCCTGGCATGGCGTCGCCGCTGTATGCTTCGCCCGTGCCGTCCAGTTATGGCATGCATTCCATTTCTGGCATGCCTGCACTCCCTGGAATGCCTACTTTCCCCGGCGGACCCGCTTCCAGAATGTTCTCTATTCCAGGCATGAATCCTTTTTCAGGAATGCATTCTTTTTCAAGCCTGCCTTCTTTCTCAGGGATGGCTTCCAGTTCCGGAACGCCTTCTATTTCTGGAATGCCTTCCTTTTTGGGAATGCCATATTCCTCAGGAGCGCCAGGCACAGGCTACCTCCATCCATCCATGCTCCCCTCATTCCCACCGCCCCAACCTGCACCCTACCGCCTCCCACTCCCCGGCACCACGCTCAACCCAACTGCCATGATGCTGCAACCAGCAGGCGCAGCAGGGGGGGGAGCAGGGGGGAGACGGGCGGGGGGGAGCGTAGGAGCACATGGGGACGTTCACGCAGGGTTCAAAAAACCCCCTCCGCTGGTGCTGGTGAGGGATGGCAGCAGCAAGCAGCAGCGCCTGCTGCCGCCTGACCAAGCAGCCAAGGCGTTCCCGGGTTACAGTCACGAGCCGACACCAGGCAGACGGCAGAAGCAGCAGCTGCTGGGGCAAGGGAGCGTTGCAAGCCCTCGTGGAGGAGATGGTGGGGCAGCAGGTGCTGCTGGTGCTTCCGCTGCAGCCAGCAGGCAGAAACAGCAGCAGCAGCTGTTGCTGCAGCAGGGCGGTGTGTCTGCGCCTTTGCACAAACACACGGGCCCTGCTAGAGATGAGGGGAACGGCGCAGAGCAGCTCGGTGGTGATGGCGATGATGAGATGGAGGGGACGAGTGGAGGCAGTGCGAGTGTGGAGAATGGCGAGTCTGGAGATGAGGGAGAGGCGGTGGTGGACCCTGTAGGGCTTCCGGAGGCAGCTGGTTGTTTGGGTCGAGGGTGACAGTTCAAGGGCAGCAGTTTCTCTGACCCTGCTTGAAACAGAAGCTGCTTTCGAATACTTATAAACCGACTTGAGAAAGCTATGTACAAAATTTATTTTGCCTTGGTGTTTGTGTTAGGCAGATATTCGTTTTTGGAACGGGAACATGATATTGTATCTGTTTTGGTACCCTAGCATATCATATTCCATGCTTGCATTGGTTTGTTGAAAAACCTTTACAACCACTTCGAAATCACTTGAACCTGGAGAGGAAGGGGTATTCATGGAAGAGGACCTTATCGGCAGTGAAGCGGCCCTGCCACGTGCACCAGTAACTTTCCTCGCTTTTCCCTCTGTACTCCTGCCAAATTTCCTGTAATCGTTTCGAGTTGCCACGTGGACGCATTTGCGCCGGCGCGGACCAGGCGAGAGAAAAAGCACACACTCGATAAAAGAACATGAGCCTTGAGGAGTGGATGCTGCATTTGTGGCTGAAGACTTCGCTAATTGCGTGCGGTGCAGTTCGGTTCGTTGCATATCTGCAAGGTACAGAAGTTGAACACCGCGTCGAATCTTCTGATGACATTCCCCAGCCAGACCCAATCCACTCGTCCCCCGATACTCCCTCCACCCCAGCAGGGAACGCTTTTGCCTGGCTTTGCTGCAAGGCCTCCCTCTCACCGTGCTACCACACACACACCACACCCCTTCCCCTGTCACATATTACTGGTGTTGGGGAAAAAACTAGTTTCATTTTACAAGCCTTGTTGTTGGCTGGTTCCTGGCAGCCGTGTCTAGCGCACATCTGCTCGCTCCACCGTCTGTTTCAGCTCCTCCGAATACGACCAACTAAGGGAGTAAGGAACTGAATTCTGCCGACCATGGCCATGGCGCAGCGGTCGCTACAGTCGCTGGATTTCAGCCAGCTCAGGCGCGTCGACGGGCTGCCGTCGGGCCTCAAAACGCCCAGCGCGAGCGGGAATGGCGTCGTGTCGCTGCTCCCCGGGTCGCAGCAGAAGCAAGTGCGCGTGAAGGGCAAGGCCCGAGTGAACAACGGCTTCGCGGTCCGTGCCTCGGGGGGCGTTGTTGAGCTCGAGCCCGCTTCCCCCGGTAGTCCGATTCTCGGTGCGTGTAGCGAGGACGCCAACCAAACGGCGTCAATTTATGTCTCTCTCCCCTTCCTCCCTCCCCCCCCTCTTCCTTTTTTCTCTCGCCACTAGGCGTAGGTTCTCGCATTCAGTTCTTATTATTGGTTCATGGTGTGCTGTGTGCGGCACGGTTAGTTCTCAGTCGATCACGTACCACATTCGACCAACCAAGCGAGGAATAGGGTAGTGGTACATATGACATTTAGTCTTGAAGAATAGATGGGCGTCGAAAGTACTGCCCACACGCCGACGCGGCTGATCGTTATGGGCTGTAGGCAAAGCTCACGACGTATGGTGTGAAACTTCGCTTTTCGTGGATTACAAGGCTCACTTCTTCGCAAACTACCTTCTCGCAGGACTTGTTTCTGGCTCACATGCTAGTCTCCAACGTATCGTTAGTAGAATCTCCGAATTTGATTCTCGTAGCTAAGCGATTGTGAATCTCGTTGCGAACCCCGTGAGTAGTTCCTCGGCTACAGTGCACGGACTCGGTGTCAAAGACTCGGTGTCAAAGACTTTTGAGTCGACTCAAAAGTCAACTCATTTGACCAACTCCGCATGCATATTACTAGTAGTCAAGTTAGTCAACCAATTTATTATCTCCTGGCTGACCCCGTGAGCAGTGCCTCGGCTACAGTACGCGGACTCGGTGTCGAAGACGGTTCGGCGAAAGACGCGCACGGTGATGGTGGGTAACGTGGCGGTCGGCAGCGACCACCCCATCCGCGTGCAGACCATGACCACCTCCGACACCAAGAACGTGCAGGCCACTGTCGAGGAGGTGAGTTCCGCTGCAGTTGTTCGTATCGAATCACTTGTAACGCGTACGATAAGGAAATTTAGAGGTCGACTTCGACCGAGTATTTGCGAGCATGTGACGGGTAGTAGCCGTGACGGGAATGCCCAGTATAGCTCGTCTCAGCGATCGGTTACGATCATCATCTCTTGCGTCGAGACTTGGCTCGTGATTAGTCCACTTGTTTTGTGTTTTCTGTCCTTTTTTTGCTCTTGGTATTCTCATTATTGAAAAGGGGTACTACCGGTGTTTTTAAGCTCGAACCTTTTCTCCCCGTCACTCCCTGCACGCATCCTCCCATCTCCCCCCACCCATCTCCCGCATCTTCTCGTGTGGCTAGGTGATGCGCATCGCGGATCGCGGCGCGGAGATCTGCCGCATCACGGTGCAGGGTCGCAAGGAGGCGGAGGCGTGCGAGCAGATCAAGAACAAGCTGGTGCAGGCCAAGTGAGTGCGGTGCAGTGCGGTGCAGGCCAAGTGAGTGCGGTGCAGTGCGGTGCAGGCCAAGTGGGCGTGAGTAGCGAGTCGAGCTTGGGGCCATGGGTTGAAGGGACTTGCAGGGCGTGGGAGGGGGATGGTTTGTGACGGAAACGGGTATTGGGAAGAGCTTGACAGAGTTGTTCGGCAAGAAATGAGTAAAGAGAACTCGTTACGCACATGCCCTCATCGTTCCTCCCTTGTGCGCCTGCCCTCCTCTGTCTCCCCGTGCGCATGCCCTCCTCTGTCTCCCCGTGCGCATGCCCTCCTCTGTCTCCCCGTGCGCCTGCCCTCCTCTGTCTCCCCGTGTGCCTGCCCTCCTCTGTCTCCCCGTGCGCCTGCCCTCCTCTGTCTCCCCGTGCGCCTGCCCTCCTCTGTCTCCCCGTGCGCCTGCCCTCCTCTGTCTCCCCGTGCGCCTGCCCTCCTCTGTCTCCCCGTGCGCCTGCCCTCCTCTGTCTCCCCGTGCGCCTGCCCTCATCTGTCTCCCCGTGCGTCTGCCCTCCTCTGTCTCCCCGTGCGTCTGCCCTCCTCTGTCTCCCCGTGCGTCTGCCCTCCTCTGTCTCCCCGTGCGCCTGCCCTCCTCTGTCTCCCCGTGCGCCTGCCCTCCTCTGTCTCCCCGTGCGCCTGCCCTCCTCTGTCTCCCCGTGCGCCTGCCCTCCTCTGTCTCCCCGTGCGTCTGCCCTCCTCTGTCTCCCCGTGCGTCTGCCCTCCTCTGTCTCCCCGTGCGCCTGCCCTCCTCTGTCTCCCCGTGCGTCTGCCCTCCTCTGTCTCCCCGTGCGCCCATCCCATCCACAACGCAATTTGTTCTCACCAACCACCCACGGATACCATGTTCTCACACTCGCTTCCTCTCCTTCCAACCCCTATTCCTTTCCATCCATTCTCTCTCTGTCCTCTGGATATGATTCTCCTCTAACGCTGCCCTTTCGCCCCTTAGCCTCTCCCCACGCCACCTCCTTCATCCCCTCCACCACTTTCCCCCCCTCCCCTTTTCCCCGCAACCCCTCCGCAGCTACAATATTCCGCTGGTGGCGGACATTCACTTTGCGCCCACCATCGCGCTGCGCGTCGCGGACTGTTTCGACAAGATCCGCATCAACCCCGGCAATTACGGTAACCTTCCCCCTCCCCTTCCATTTCCCTGGCCCCGCCCCTTACCCTTGACCCCGCCCCTGCCGCTGCCGCTGCCGCTGCCGCTGCCGCTGCCGCTGCCGCTGCCGCTGCCGCTGCCGCTGCCGCTGCCGCTGCCGCTGCCGCTGCCGCTGCCGCTGCCGCTGCCGCTGCCGCTGCCGCTGCCGCTGCCGCTGCCGCTGCCGCTGCCGCTGCCGCTGCCGCTGCCGCTGCCGCTGCCGCTGCCGCTGCCGCTGCCCCTGCCCCTGCCCCTGCCGCTGCCCCTGCCCCTGCCCCTGCCCCTGCCCCTGCCCCTGCCCCTGCCCCTGCCCCTGCCCCTGCCCCTGCCCCTGCCCCTGCCCCTGCCCCTGCCCCTGCCCCTGCCCCTGCCCCTGCCATACTTGCATGCTGTTGCTCCATTCTTGCGCACACATTTGCTCGCATTGCTGACTGGCACGTTCACACTTCCACCCCCCTTGCTGTCACGTTCTGCGCTTGCCTCTGGCCCAACTGCAGCGGACACGCGCGCGGTGTTCAAGACGGTGGAGTACACGGACGAGAGCTACCAGCAGGAGCTGGAGCACATTGACGAGGTGAGACTCGGAGATGGCTGTACGAGAAGACGAATGAGAGATGAGGTGGTGAGAGATGAGAGCAGAGAGATGAGGGTGTTTAAGACGGTGGAGTGCACGGACGAGAGCTACCCGCAGGAGCTGGAACACATCGACGAGGTGAGACGGGCAGAGGTAGAGACAGGGCGCGAGTTGAGAGACAGGGCGCGAGTTGACGGTGTTACAGGAGGTAGAGACAGGGCGCGAGTTGACGGTGTTACAGGAGGTAGAGACAGGGCGCGAGTTGACTGTGTTACAGGAGGTAGAGACAGGGCGCGAGTTGACTGTGTTACAGGAGGTAGAGACAGGGCGCGAGTTGACGGTGTTACAGGAGGTAGAGACAGGGCGCGAGTTGACTATGTTACAGGAGGTAGAGACAGGGCGCGAGTTGACTGTGTTACAGGAGGTAGAGACAGGGCGCGAGTTGACGGTGTTACAGGAGGTAGAGACAGGGCGCGAGTTGACGGTGTTACAGGAGGTAGAGACAGGGCGCGAGTTGACTATGTTACAGGAGGTAGAGACAGGGCGCGAGTTGACTGTGTTACAGGAGGTAGAGACAGGGCGCGAGTTGACGGTGTTACAGGAGGTAGAGACAGGGCGCGAGTTGACTGTGTTACAGGAGGTAGAGACAGGGCGCGAGTTGACTGTGTTACGGGATTGAAAAGCAGGAGACGTGTCTCATGCGAGGAGAAGAGGATGCACGAGAGGTGGTTGGGACCAGTCCCGAACACGGATGGGAGGTCACAGCAGGAGCTGGAGCACATTGACGAGTCGGGATTTAGAGTCGACTGTACGGAGGACGCATGAGAGATGGCGAGAGATCAGAGCAGAACACGGATGAGAGCCACTGGCATGAGCTGGCGCACATAGATGCGGCGAGGCGAGCAGAGGCGAAGAGGGCGAGCGGGTCCAACGGGAACATAGATGAGAGCTGCCGGCTGAAGCTGACGTGCATAGATGAGGTGCGGCGAGCAGAGGCGGAGGAAAGCGGGGGGATTTCTTGTGTGAGGAGGATAGGACGCATACGAGGTGGGTGGGAGCGAACGACCAGAGCATGCGAGGTGGGTGGGAGCGAACGACCAGAGCATGCGAGGTGGGTGGGAGCGAACGACCAGAGCATGCGAGGTGGGTGGGAGCGAACGACCAGAGCATGCGAGGTGGGTGGGAGCGAACGACCAGAGCATGCGAGGTGGGTGGGAGCGAACGACCAGAGCATGCGAGGTGGGTGGGAGCGAACGACCAGAGCATGCGAGGTGGGTGGGAGCGAACGACCAGAGCATGCGAGGTGGGTGGGAGCGAACGACCAGAGCATGCGAGGTGGGTGGGAGCGAACGACCAGAGCATGCGAGGTGGGTGGGAGCGAACGACCAGAGCATGCGAGGTGGGTGGGAGCGAACGACCAGAGCATGCGAGGTGGGTGGGAGCGAACGACCAGAGCATGCGAGGTGGGTGGGAGCGAACGACCAGAGCATGCGAGGTGGGTGGGAGCGAACGACCAGAGCATGCGAGGTGGGTGGGAGCGAACGACCAGAGCATGCGAGGTGGGTGGGAGCGAACGACCAGAGCATGCGAGGTGGGTGGGAGCGAACGACCAGAGCATGCGAGGTGGGTGGGAGCGAACGACCAGAGCATGCGAGGTGGGTGGGAGCGAACGACCAGAGCATGCGAGGTGGGTGGGAGCGAACGACCAGAGCATGCGAGGTGGGTGGGAGCGAACGACCAGAGCATGCGAGGTGGGTGGGAGCGAACGACCAGAGCATGCGAGGTGGGTGGGAGCGAACGACCAGAGCATGCGAGGTGGGTGGGAGCGAACGACCAGAGCATGCGAGGTGGGTGGGAGCGAACGACCAGAGCATGCGAGGTGGGTGGGAGCGAACGACCAGAGCATGCGAGGTGGGTGGGAGCGAACGACCAGAGCATGCGAGGTGGGTGGGAGCGAACGACCAGAGCATGCGAGGTGGGTGGGAGCGAACGACCAGAGCATGCGAGGTGGGTGGGAGCGAACGACCAGAGCATGCGAGGTGGGTGGGAGCGAACGACCAGAGCATGCGAGGTGGGTGGGAGCGACCAGAGCATGCGAGGTGGGTGGGAGCGAACGACCAGAGCATGCGAGGTGGGTGGGAGCGAACGACCAGAGCATGCGAGGTGGGTGGGAGCGAACGACCAGAGCATGCGAGGTGGGTGGGAGCGAACGACCAGAGCATGCGAGGTGGGTGGGAGCGAACGACCAGAGCATGCGAGGTGGGTGGGAGCGAACGACCAGAGCATGCGAGGTGGGTGGGAGCGAACGACCAGAGCATGCGAGGTGGGTGGGAGCGAACGACCAGAGCATGCGAGGTGGGTGGGAGCGAACGACCAGAGCATGCGAGGTGGGTGGGAGCGAACGACCAGAGCATGCGAGGTGGGTGGGAGCGAACGACCAGAGCATGCGAGGTGGGTGGGAGCGAACGACCAGAGCATGCGAGGTGGGTGGGAGCGAACGACCAGAGCATGCGAGGTGGGTGGGAGCGAACGACCAGAGCATGCGAGGTGGGTGGGAGCGAACGACCAGAGCATGCGAGGTGGGTGGGAGCGAACGACCAGAGCATGCGAGGTGGGTGGGAGCGAACGACCAGAGCATGCGAGGTGGGTGGGAGCGAACGACCAGAGCATGCGAGGTGGGTGGGAGCGAACGACCAGAGCATGCGAGGTGGGTGGGAGCGAACGACCAGAGCATGCGAGGTGGGTGGGAGCGAACGACCAGAGCATGCGAGGTGGGTGGGAGCGAACGACCAGAGCATGCGAGGTGGGTGGGAGCGAACGACCAGAGCATGCGAGGTGGGTGGGAGCGACCAGAGCATGCGAGGTGGGTGGGAGCGAACGACCAGAGCATGCGAGGTGGGTGGGAGCGAACGACCAGAGCATGCGAGGTGGGTGGGAGCGAACGACCAGAGCATGCGAGGTGGGTGGGAGCGACCAGAGCATGCGAGGTGGGTGGGAGCGAACGACCAGAGCATGCGAGGTGGGTGGGAGCGAACGACCAGAGCATGCGAGGTGGGTGGGAGCGACCAGAGCATGCGAGGTGGGTGGGAGCGACCAGAGCATGGGGGCGGTTGGGGCTGATGGCCGAGGTGAGGGCGTGGGACAGAAGGAATAGACCATTGAGCGATTCAAAGACAGGTGGCAGGAGCATAAAACTTTTCAGTTGACTCATAAGTTATGAGTTGAGGGCGAGGGACAGAGAGAACAGAACATCAAGCCATGCGAAGACAGGTGGGAGGAGCATATGTGGTGTGCGGAGGAGATAGTGAGACAGAGGAAGTACATTGTTTGAGAAACGACTCGAAATGCATATGTAGTGTGCAGAGGAGAGGAGATGGCGAGAGCAGGGGAAGGAGGGAGGGGGCGGGCGGGTGTGTGTGAGCGAGACGGTGGAGTGCAGACGGATAGGAGGTAGGAGAAGGAGGGCGAGGGGCGGGAAGGAAGGAGGTATGTCGAGCAGGCGGGTGAGCACATTGAGAGTAGGCTGGCATAGGTTTTCGGGTTTGGTGATGCGCGTGAGGGGCTGGAAAGGGGTATGGGAGGAACGAGACGCACTTGGGTGGGAGGTTTGGCTGTGGGAGAGTGCAGGAACAGGGAGGAGAATGCAGTTCACTCGCTGACATGCATCGCCTCGTGCGTTTATGTGCGGCATCTTGTGTCCTCATTTGTTCATCTGACATCATTCACGTGCGTCCAGGTGTTTTCCAACTTGGTGCTCAAGTGCAAGCTACTGTGCTGTGCAGCATTGCCATCACATCACATGACACATGCACTGCTCCTCATATGCTCATCTGCTCATCTCTTCGTTTGTTCATCTGCATTTGCACTGGGTTTCATAACTCACATTTGCACAGGTGTTCTCCAAGCTGGTGCTCAAGTGCAAGCAGCTGGGGCAGCGCTCACAGCATGCTTGTGGTTTGGCTTGGCATCTCATCTCATCCACTGCACTGCCCATCTACTCGCCCGCATCCTTCACACGTGTGCAGGTGTTCTCCAAGCTAGTGCTCAAGTGCAAGCAGCTGGGGCGCGCCATGCGCATCGGCACCAACCACGGCAGCCTCTCCGACCGCATCATGAGCTACTATGGCGACTCGCCACGTGGCATGGTGAGTCAGCACACGTGGCATGGTGAGTCAGCACACGTGGCATGGTGAGTCAGCACTCGTATGTCATGGCGTCTGTTAAACCAGGCGCATTCCACCGCTCTCTCTGTACTTCACCCCTTCGACACAGGTTGAGTCCGCCCTTGAGTTCGCGCGCATCTGTCGCAAGCATGACTATCACAACTTTGTCTTCTTCATGAAGGCCAGCCCAGCAACCCCTCACCACCCCCTTTAACCGCGTTCCACCCCACTCCATGTGCCCCTAACCGCAACTTCGTCTTCTCCATGCTACAGGTGGAGTCCGCGCTGGAATTCGCGCGCATCTGTCGCAAGCACGACTACCACAACTTCGTGTTCTCCATGAAGGCCAGCAACCCCGTCGTCATGGTGGCCGCCTACCGCCTGCTGGCAGCGCAGCTGAGGAGTGCGGGGCCGGACTGGAACTACCCTCTGCACCTGGGAGTGACTGAGGCCGGGGAGGGCGAGGACGGCCGCATGAAGTCCGCCATTGGCATTGGCGCGCTGCTGCAGGTGAGCTGCTCGCTGCTGCAGCTGAGCGGGAGAGGGTAGAGGGGGAAGAAATCATAGTAATGTCGCTCCCAGAGGCGCTTACATGCTCTAAGCTCCTCTCTTAGCCACCTCTCACGCCTCTCGCCCCTCTAACCCCCCCTCACTCTCGAACTCCCACTTGCTCCACATCACGGGCTGGGCAACTCCATTTTGTGTCCCTCGCGGAGGCCCCTGCCTACACGCTTTAAGCGCCCCTCTCGTGCCCCTCTCAAGCACCTCTCGCGCCCCTCGCCCCTCCCCTCCCCATTCCCCACCTCTCCCTTTGCTTCACAGGACGGGCTGGGCGACACCATACGAGTGTCTCTCACAGAGGCCCCTTTAAGCACCCTTATCAATTGACTTTCACGCCCCTCCCCTCCCCTCCCCTCCCCTCCCCACCTCCCCCCTTGCTTCACAGGACGGCCTGGGCGACACCATTCGAGTGTCGCTCACGGAGGCTCCAGAGGAGGAGATTGAGCCGTGCTCTGCTCTCGCTAACTACGGCATGCGCGCCGCCAAGCTCGGCAAGGGTGTGGTGAGTTTCAGCAAGTGGGCCAGGTTCGTTCATCTGCGCACGGTCATGGTGAGGCACGCTCAGCAGATGCAATCAAGCCATGCTCTGCACTCGAGGTGACCTTTGAGTCGACTCAAAAGTCACCTCATTTGAGCATGGTCATGGTGGGGCACGCTCAGTTGATGCAATTGAGCCGTGCTCTGCCCTCGCCAACTACGGCATGCGTGCTGCAAAGCTCGGCAAGGGTGTGGTAAGTGTGAATTAACGAGTGGCTGAGATCCAATCTGAGCAGGGTGATTGCTTGTTCTCTTCCATGAAGTCCTAAAATCCTAAACTAGTCACTGGAAGGATCACTATTGCAGCAAGCACCGCCACACGATCACTACATTCTGGTTCAAATACATCCTAATGTTACAGGAGAGCAATAAGCTAACCTTCTCCGTTCTTATTTTCCCTGCTCCGCCCCTCTCCGCCCCTCTCCACCCTGCTGTACCAACAGGAGGACTTTGAGGAGAAGCATCGCAGCTACTTTGAGTTCTCCCGCCGATCCGGCCAGCTGCCCCTGCAGAAGGAGGTGTGTCTCGCTTCAACCGCCATGTGCTCCGCTCTGCGTTTGCTCTGATGGCCCTGTGCTCTGCTCTGCCCTTGCCCGTGCTTCACATCCGTGGGAACGTTCTTTACCCCAACAACACGTCACCCTGCCTGCTCCAATTTGTCCCTTACCTCAAGTTATGTTTGTCATTCCTCTTTTTTCCAGAAGAATGATCGGCAGTTGCTGCTTCCTTCATTTCCATCCCTCCTTCCTCCTCTCCTCCATTTTGCCTCTCATCCTCACCTCCCCTCCTCCTCTCATCTCCTCTCGTCCTCTCCTTCTCTCCTCCGATCCTCCTCTCCTCCCCTCCTCCCCTCCTCTCCTCCCCTCCTCCCCTCCTCTCCTCCCCTCCTCCTCCTCCTCCTCCTCTCCTCCTCTCCTCCCCTCCTCTCCCCTCCTTCTTCCCTCCTCTCCCCTCCTTCTTCCCTCCTCTTCCACTCCTCTCCTCCTCTCCTCGCACCAGGGAGACGCTATTGACTTCAGGGGGATGCTGCACCGTGATGGATCTGTGCTCATGTCCGTTGATGCTGCCATGCTCAAGGTGCGATGCGATTATGGCCGTTGATTTGATGCCGCCATGCTCAAGGTGTACTCATTATGCAGAACAAGTTTTCTCTCTCATCTAGGAATATAAACGACCTTCCTTTTTTTACAGGCTGAGATGAGAAGCGGGAAGGCTGAGAGAGGAGCAGCATGAAGGGGAACAGAATATTAGGCAAAATGTGCTGTTTTGTCTCTCAACTCAATGCTCTTCTCTCAACTCAATGCTCTTCTCTCAACTCAATGCTCTTCTCTCAACTCAATGCTCTTCTCTCAACTCAATGCTCTTCTCTCAACTCAATGCTCTTCTCTCAACTCAATGCTCTTCTCTCAACTCAATGCTCTTCTCTCAACTCAATGCTCTTCTCTCAACTCAATGCTCTTCTCAAAGCGTAAACCTCCAATTTCCTCGTCTCTCTCAACCCACCAGAACCCTGAGGCTCTGTACCGTGCTCTGGCGTGCAAGATGGCTGTCGGCATGCCCTTCAAGGTGCACACCTCCCCACCTCCCCTTCCCCATCCTGCACTCACTTCCTCTCGCACTTACTCCTCTCACCGCTCTCCCTCTTCCACTTCCTCCCATTCCAGCCACTCCTCCCCACTCCCACCCCTCTCTGTCTTCTGTCACACCCCGTCAGTTCCCCACACTCCCCCAGCATTCTTGCAAGTGTGTTCTCTTCTCGTCCACTATAGATCTCTACCTTTCTACCTCCCTTCTCGTTTGGGCACATATTGTCTGCTCATTCTGTGCTTCCCTGCACCACTCTCTACCCCTCTGGACAGCTCTCTCCCCTTCTACCAACCGTATCTTTTTCACAGGCACCATACGCTCTTGTCTAAGCACCGCTCCCATCCCCTCTGCACCTCTCTCCACCCATCCCCCCTTTTCTCTGACCACATTGAAGGCATTGCATTCCCTTTTTCTCCTCAGCGTCTCTCTCCACCGCTCTACACCTCTCTCCATCCCTTGTCCCTTGATTCAGGATCTGGCGACAGTGGACAGCATTCTGCTCCGCCAGGCCCCAGCTGCTGACGACAAGGAAGCTGTGAGTGGGGATTTGATTTGATCCGATCAGCTCCAAGCAAAGATTTGATTTTATCAAATCAGTTGTGGGTGGGGGTCAATCAAGCCTGTGCGAGTCTAAGCCTTTGAGTGGCAGTGATGAGAGCAGTTGCAAGTGCGTGTCATATGAGGGCAGTCCAGCCAACGTGCTGGCTGCTGCCGTGCCGTGTGTGCTGCATGTCAGCACTGCACAGCAGATGCTTGTCTTTCAGTGTTACCAGCCTTTGAGTGGCAGTGATGAGAGCCGTTGCAAGTGCGTGTCATATGAGGGCAGTCCAGCCAACGTGCTGGCTGCTGCCGTGCCGTGTGTGTGTGTGCTGCATGTCAGCACCTCACTGCCGATGATTACACAGCAGCCTTTGATGATTCCTGTCTGAGCCACTCTGCTCTGGATGTGATGTGATGACGACCCTTGGTGATTCTCCTTCACCTTGATTTATCCTCCCCTCTCATCGCTCCCTCCCCTCCCATTGCTCCCTCCCCTCCCATCGCTCCCTTCCCTCCTATCAGCGTCTGGCGCTGAGGCGACTGCAGGAGGTGGGCGTGGCCGTGTTGGTGCCGGTGGAGGCCCTCACAGCCACCCCACTCTTCCCTTGCCCCGCTTACCTCCCCCTCCCACTTCCCATGCCACTCTCTGCATTCCCCCTATCAGCGTCTGGCGCTGAGGCGGCTGCAGGAGGTGGGCGTGGGCGTGCTGGTGCGAGTTGAAGCCCTCGCAGCCACCCCACTCTCTCCTTACCCCGTTCCTCTTCTGCTCCCACTTCCCAAACCCCCCAATTCCCCTCGCAGCGTCTGGCGCTGAGGCGGCTGCAGGAGGTGGGCGTGGGTGTGCTGGTGCCGGTGGAGGCCCTTGCAGCCGCGCCTCTCCCCAACGCCGTGGCACTGCTCTCCCTGGAGCAGGCCAAGCTGGGCGTGCACAAGCACCTGCCTCAAGGTGGGTAGTGTTGTTAGCATGCACAAGCACCTGCCTCAAGGTGGGTAGTGTTGTTAGCATGCACAAGCACCTGCCGCAAGGTGGGTAGTGTTGTTAACATGCACAAGCACCTGCCGCAAGGTGGGTAGTGTTGTTAGCATGCACAAGCACCTGCCGCAAGGTGGGTAGTGTTGTTAGCATGCACAAGCACCTGCCGCAAGGTGGGTGGTGTTGTTAGTGTGCTCTGATTCAGCCGCAGAAGGTGGGGTGTGGCACGCTCAGGCACCTGCCAAGCTGAGTGGGATGCGCATCAGAAATAGGTCCAACTCACATCCCACTCATCTTGTGGCAGGATATGGGTCCATGATGATTATGCTTGCTGTTTCTCTCTGCCCTCTCATCTCCTCTCCTTTTCCCCTCGTCTCCTCCCTTCCCTCTTCCGTCTCCTCTCTGCCCTCTCACCTGCTCCCTCCCTTCCCCCACATGGTATCCTCTGTCCCAATGCCCTCTCCGTGCAGGGGCGGCGCGCTTTGCAGTGAGCGTGCGGGGCGACGAGAGTGAGGAGGACCTCAAGGCATTGGTGGGGCTGGACGCCGTGATGCTGCTGGCGCACGTGCCGCCGCAGGCAGAGGACAGCACCGTCAGCCGCGTGCACTCTAGCCGCAGGTGAGACTCGTGCTGGCAGGCAGGCAGGCAGGCAGGCAGGCAGGCGGGCGGGCGGGCGGGCAGGCGTGCATGTGACTCCTGAGGCTGATCCAGCAGCCTTCTGGACATCCAGCCAGCCACAGCACCATGAGCCTGTTGAGACTGTTGAGCCTGCCGGACTGCCCTTCATCAGTCTAGCCTGATGCCCCTCCACTCGTTTTGCTACCGCATCAACTCAACTGCCTCCCATGCACCTTCCGCATGCCCTCTGCTTCTGTGTGTCCCATCTGTGTCCCTCAGGCTCTTTGAGTTCCTGCAGTCCAATAACATCATGACACCTGTCATCCACCACATCAGCTTCCCTGAGGGCACGTCCAAGTACGTCTCCTCTCCTTTCTGCAGCCCCTTTCCATCCTCCTTTGCCAGGCCTCCCCTCCCCAACCTGCCCTCCCCAGCCTGCCCTCCCCAACCTGCCCTCCCCAGCCTGCCCTCCCCAACCTCCCATCCCCAATGTGCCTTCTGCAACCTTACTTTCCCATCTTCCTTTCTCCTCCTTTCCCCAGTCCCCACTTTCCAACCTCCCCTCCGTCACCTCATCTCTACAACCCTTGGTCTCTCCCCTCACTCCTTCCCCACATCCCTTCGCCCTTCCCCTCCTTTCCACACTCTCACTGAGTACATGCACGTAGCCTTTTTCACTGAGTACATGCACATAGCCTTTCTCTACTCACCTCACCCCATCGCGTCCTCCCATTCCCATCAGCTTATCCTCAATGGCCCTCTCTTTTCACAACCATCTGAGTGCCATTCACTTAGTCGCCATTCATTTAGTCGCCATTCACTAAGTCGCCATTCATTTAGTCGCCATTCACTTAGTCGCCATTCATTTAGTCGCCATTCACTTAGTCGCCATTCATTTAGTCGCCATTCACTTAGTCGCCATTCACTTAGTCGCCATTCATTTAGTCGCCATTCATTTAGTCGCCATTCACTTGTCGCCATTCACTTAGTCGCCCCGTAGCAGCATGTTGGCCAAGCAGTCTGCTCACTCTCGGTCCTTGGCTGTCTGTCTGTCTGTCTGTCTGTGTCCCCCCCCCCCCACCGTGCTCGCCTGTGGCAGGGACGATCTGGTGCTGCAGTCGGGTGCTGAGGCTGGTGCTCTGCTGGTGAGTCACCCACTCACCGCCATGCCGCCATGCCGCCATGCTGCCATGCCGCCATGCTTCCATGCTGCCTTAGAGTATCCCTCTTCTTCGCTGCATCGTTGCCACTCGTTCTCCACAGCCCCACCCACTCGTCGCCCTCTCCCAGATGTACAAATGAGGTGATGAAGCCTGCTGCTGCTCGTCAACTCCTGCCCCCTTGGCTGTCCCTCGTCTCCCTCACTGCCCCACCGCCCCGGCCATCCCCCTGGCACCAGGCGAGCTGGGCAACGGGGTGATGCTGGAGGCGCCAAGCTACACCATGGAGTCTGTGCTTCTATCCCGCATCCCGCTCCTCCCTCCCCCCCACCCGCCCCCTCTCCCCTCCCCTTCCGCGTGCCACCAGGTGGACGGGCTGGGAGACGGAGTGCTGCTGGAGGCGCCCAGCCACGACATGGAGTTCCTGCGCAACACGTCCTTTGGCATGCTGCAGGGCTGCCGCATGCGCAACACCAAGACGGTGAGTCGAGGATAAGGGCCCTTAGTGTGCTCCTCACTGTGCCCCTCCAAGCGCAGCACGTCCTTTGGCATGCTGCAGGGCTGCCGCATGCGCAACACCAAGACGGTGAGTCGAGGGTAAGGGCCCTTAGTGTGCTCCTCACTGAGTGCCTCTCACTGAGTGCCTTTCAAGCGCAGCACGTCCTTTGGCATGCTGCAGGGCTGCCGCATGAGGAACACCAAGACGGTGAGTTGAGGATAAGGGCCCTTAGTGTGCTCCTCACTGCGCCCCTCCAAGCGCAACACGTCCTTCGGCATGCTGCAGGGCTGCCGCATGCGCAACACCAAGACGGTGAGTCGAGGATAAGGGCCCTTAGTGTGCTCCTCACTGTGCCCCTCCAAGCGCAGCACGTCCTTTGGCATGCTGCAGGGCTGCCGCATGCGCAACACCAAGACGGTGAGTCGAGGGTAAGGGCCCTTAGTGTGCTCCTCACTGAGTGCCTCTCACTGAGTGCCTTTCAAGCGCAGCACGTCCTTTGGCATGCTGCAGGGCTGCCGCATGAGGAACACCAAGACGGTGAGTTGAGGATAAGGGCCCTTAGTGTGCTCCTCACTGCGCCCCTCCAAGCGCAGCACGTCCTTTGGCATGCTGCAGGGCTGCCGCATGAGGAACACCAAGACGGTGAGTTGAGGATAAGGGCCCTTAGTGTGCTCCTCACTGCGCCCCTCCAAGCGCAACACGTCCTTCGGCATGCTGCAGGGCTGCCGCATGCGCAACACCAAGACGGTCAGTCAAGGCCGACGCCCTCAGTGAGCGCTCCTCAGTGAGCGCCTGCCTCCAAGCGCAGCACGTCCTTGGGCATGCCGCAGTGAGTGCCTGCCGCATGCGCAACACTTGTATGCCAAGTGCAAGGATGCGACCCGCGGTGTTCTCTCCTCCCAATTCCATCGTCACCTCTTCCCCATTCTTCGCAACCGCATGAGTTAACTAAATCCAATTCTCTCCATCGGTCATCTCTCCATCCATCCCTCCTCCCTCTTCCCTCGCCCTTCCCCACCGCACATCAGGAGTTCGTCTCGTGCCCATTGTGCGGCCGTGCGCTGTTTTAACCCTCCACAGCAGGAGCCATCCGCGCTCCCCTCCCCACCTCACCTCATCTGTCCTCACCACTCCCTCTCCCACCTCTCTGCCCCTCCCTTCCCCATGTCCCCCTCACAGGAGTTCGTCTCATGCCCATCATGCGGCCGCACGCTCTTTGACCTGCAGGAGGTGACGGCTTCCATCCGCGAGCGCACCTCCCACCTCCCTGGCGTTGCTGTGAGTCCCTCTCCCTCCACCTGCCCTCTCTGTTTCTAGCGAGGCGGTGCACGCCTACGTTCAGACATATATGTATAAATAGTGTATTCATTTGCATACATGTCTATACTTGGATATATATTCCAAGAAACAGTTGTGTCACCTGTGGTTCCCCTCTTTCTCTGTCGGTTGATCTGATTGGTGTCTGCTCGTCCACTTGTAGCTCCTCACTCCATGGTTCATCTCCCCATCTCCCCTCCTATTCGTCCATCTCCCCCCCTTCATTCTCCTCTCCCCGTCCTCCTCGTCTCCTGTACTTCCACTCCCGTTCCCCACCTCCCGTTCCCCACCTCCCGTTCCCCACCTCCCGTTCCCCACCTCCCGTTCCCCACCTCCTGTTCCCCACCTCCCGTTCCCCACCTCCCGTTCCCCACCTCCCGTTCCCCACCTCCTGTTCCCCACCTCCCGTTCCCCACCTCCCGTTCCCCACCTCCCGTTCCCCACCTCCCGTTCCCCTCCTCCCGTTCCCCTCCTCCCGTTCCCCACCTCCCGTTCCCCTCCTCCCGTTCCCCACCTCCCGTTCCCCTCCTCCCGTTCCCCACCTCCCGTTCCCCACCTCCCGTTCCCCTCCTCCCGTTCCCCACCTCCCGTTCCCCACCTCCCGTTCCCCCTCCGTCCCCTCCCGTTCCCCTCCTCCCGTTCCCCACCTCCCGTTCCCCACCTCCCGTTCCCCACCTCCCGTTCCCCTCCTCCCGTTCCCCTCCTCCCGTTCCCCACCTCCCGTTCCCCTCCTCCCGTTCCCCTCCTCCCGTTCCCCTCCTCCCGTTCCCCACCTCCCGTTCCCCACCTCCCGTTCCCCACCTCCCGTTCCCCTCCTCCCGTTCCCCTCCTCCCGTTCCCCACCTCCCGTTCCCCACCTCCCGTTCCCCTCCTCCCATTCCCCTCCTCCCGTTCCCCACCTCCTGTTCCCCACCTCCCGTTCCCCTCCTCCCGTTCCCCTCCTCCCGTTCCCCACCTCCCGTTCCCCACCTCCCGTTCCCCTCCTCCCGTTCCCCTCCTCCCGTTCCCCACCTCCCGTTCCCCACCTCCCGTTCCCCTCCCTTTCCCCTCATCACCCACAGATTGCCATCATGGGGTGCATTGTGAATGGCCCTGGCGAGATGGCTGATGCTGACTTTGGCTACGTGGGCGGGGCGCCAGGCAAGATCGATCTCTATGTCGGCAAGGTGGGTGCGATGCTGTGTGCATGGGTGTGCTTGGGTGGGCTTGGGTGTGCTTGGGTACTATTTCAGAGGGACTTTGGCTACGTGGGCAGGGCGCCAGGTAAGATCGACCTCTATGTCAGCAAGGTGCGTGCCCTCTGCTGGGCTGGATGGCATGGTGGGCTGCATCTGGGTGGTATTCTGGCTGGCATGGTGGTCGGCATGGTGGTTGGCATGGTGGGCGGCAAGTTTGTCCTGTGCACTCATCCGTGTCACAGCAGACCCACCAGTCTTTGCACTTGTTATGTTCAGCAGGCGCCCACGTAGCCTGTCTTTGTTTCAAATCGACTCAAAGATATTCACCCACCTAGTCAGTGCAGACTGGTGGGCGTTGTTGGGGAAATACGCCTAACATCCTCAACCATTCGCATCAACCCCACACCACCCCAATCCACACCGTGGCATGTCCTGTCTACAGGCAGTGCCGCATCATGCCGTCCGTCCCCATTGATGCAGCTGAATTCCATCCCTCTCATTCCCAGCTGTCCCCACCCCCCTCCTTCCTCCTCCCCCACATTCCACCGCACTCCATCCCACCCCAAACCACCCCATCCCACCCCAACCCCTCCAACCCTCAACAGGAGGTGGTGCAGCGCGGCATCCCCATGGAGGAGGCCACGGACGCGCTGGTGAAGCTCATCAAGGACCACGGCCGCTGGGTGGAGCCCATGCCACCTCATCTCACACCTTTTCACCGCACTCCACTGCCCTCCACCGCACCCCATCCCCCCCAACAGGAGGTGGTGCAGCGTGGCATCCCCATGGAAGAGGCAACAGACGCGCTGGTGACGCTCATCAAGGACCACGGCCGCTGGGTGGAGCCGGCTCAGGAGGAGGAGGCGCAGGCCGTGGCGGCTTGAAGCAGTGGTGCATTGCGCGCACGCGCCTTGTGACATGTTTGGGTGCCAGACGGCAGGGTGAAACGCTCCTTGCTTTTGAGCAGCTGCCGTGACTCATGAGCTTGAGCTTTGCGAAACATGGTAGTGGAGTTTTTTGACAGAGGATGAGCAGTCTGAGGGTAGACCGCAGGCTGCATGGTTTAGAGAGTGAAAGGGAGTGGTGATGTGAGTGTATGCTGTGTGCTGGATTGAGGGACTTGGCAGATGTGGTCTTTAGAGAGAGTCTTGTGTGTAACCATTGTATTTTGCCCTGTCTCATTATTGTTCATACATCAACAACCATAACCACTGTTCAGGGTAACCACAAAAAGCTGACAAGTTCACTATAAAGCCTTATTACTGTAGCTGTGACACACCCTTACAAAAGGTTGATACCACAACTCAGACCTAAACCCTAGACCTTATGGCACAGCTTATCATAGACAGTGTCTTGCAAAACGATTTATCTTGACAAGCGTAAGGAAAATCTCTTTTTCCTTACTTCGCGTCCCTTGTCAACGCGTACATCACTATAGCACCACAGTCAGCACCGTTACCACTCGCAATCCTCGCATCGACAATCCGCCCGCCACCTTCGCACGTCGCACCCCGACCTCACGGCTCGGCGGGTAACCCGCGCTCCGGGCCTCCGCTTCGACACTTTTCCCAACCTCAGTCCCAGGCCCGTCGCGCCACAACCACAGTCCATTACCGTTACCACTGTAGTTTCGCTATATATTCTTCGCTCATGCCTTCGCTCATTGTACTCTTGCTTCGATAGTGCAATTCTCGTTCGTTCACTCAATTGCACTCGTAACACTTGGTATCAGAGCCTACGATCTCTTCTCGGACCGCACCCACACCTTCGCTTCCCCACTATCTCAGTTTTTGGGGGGGGTAGACGTCTCTCAGCGACACAGCACCGCCGCTCGTAGTGCTCTCTCGTAAGCACGCACGGTCACGACTGAGGCTCTCGCTGAGCTCGCCCGACACCCCCGCCATGGCCGAATTCACGCTCGCCACATTGACGCAGGAGCAGCTCGACCGTCTGGTACGCCAACTCGAAGATTCGGCGCTCGAAATTGCGATGCTCACAGCGGAACGTGACTCCGCGCGTCAGCAATCAACGGTGAACACTCCAGCAGCACCACACGCACCAACAAATGCACCTGCACAATCGGACGAGCCAATCGTCATCTCGTCCAGGACACCAACACAACACGACAGCGTGGGACAGCGCTCGGGCGCAGCCAGTGATAGCGCCGCCCAACCAATGCCTGGCATGGGAGGAAACAGGGGCGCGCCAAGCCCGCGGGAGCCTCGCGAAGCCCGTCGGCACGTGGAGTTCGCGGCGACAAGTGGCGAACAGGCCATCATGGCACCAATGCCACTCAAGCCGCAACGCCCGCCCTGTTTCGACCCGAGCCAGCGTGGAGGTCCGACGGTTCAATCGTGGGTTTTCACGATGAACGTCTTCTTCGACGCGAATTACGTCAAGTCGGACGCAGCGAAGATTCGGTATGCCGTTTCGCTGTTAAGGGGCCCCGCCATGGACTGGTGGCGAGTCATCGTGACGTCGCCACGCGCCTACGAGCCACCGTCGCAAGAGGAAGGGCCCACGGGTCCAGCTGTCACCTGGAGTTCATTCTGCGAGACCGCCCAATACAGCACGTGGGATTCGTGGTGCGCAGGGCTTCGGGCGCGCTTCGAGCCGATCGCGGCTTCTATTTCGGCGCGTCAGAGATTGCGCACTTGGCGGCATCTCGGGTCGGTTCAAGATTACACGAGCGGTTTTCTCGCACTTTGCGAGCAGGTCGGCTACATGCACGAAGCGGAGCGGGTGGACCGTTACGTCGGAGGGCTGAAGCCGGATATCTTGCACGAAATCATGCTGCGCGGACTCTCAAACTTCAACGAGATTCTCGCGCTCGCCGAGAAAATCGACATTCTACGCCGACCGAGACCGGGGTCCTACTACGGACATCGTCCTCGGGGACCGATCGAGCACGCCACTGTAAACGCTGTTGCAACGAATGCAGCTGCCGCACCGTTTAAGGGGCGCTGCTTTGCTTGCAACAGGCCGGGCCATCGCAAGAGCGAATGCCCAGAGGAGCTAAGGCGCCGCGGAGCAGAGCAGGGGAGGGAGTCTCAGAGGCAGGGAAACGCCAGCAGTCAGTAGAAGTTGGGCCAACTACTGACGAGACTGCCTGCTCGCCCAACCGCACCGACCCTCACCGAGTCACAGTACCGATTCACGCCATCGATCGGGCTCGGATGAATAAGGAGGGTACAACAACGGATTGCCCAGTACTAATCCACGGGAAAATACAGGGAGCAGCAGTGAAGATTTTTATTGACGGAGGAGCAAGCCACAGTTTAGTTAATACCGCAACTGCGCGAAAATTACAACTGACACTTGTCATGCTTTTATACTTAGTATAGATATAATAAGATAGGTGCATGACATTGTGAAGGAGCGTAATAGACTGTAGAGAAGTAAGGGGGAAAAGGGGAATGCTCGAGCGGGAACACAAAGCGAGCCGTGCGAAAGCACCGTTGCACGGCAACGGTAACCACCGCTCACAATTACTTAAGCAGTAGCGCAAGTAGGGGATCTTTGCTTGCGAGTTTGTTTTCACACTAAGCTACAATTCAGGCTGGCGAAACCCCTAGCACCTAGCACGAGTGGAGCCAATCCTAGCAAGCACGATCTGAGCCAAGGAAGAGCAGTGAGTCTGCCGAGCTCAGCCCCCAGTGGAAGCAATCTCCTCTCAGAGAGTAGAGGAGCTTTTAACAAACTCGCAAGGAAAAGCTAGCGTAAGAAGCAATGACCGACGAGTTTCGACTCAACTCTAGACTGAGTTACGCCAGAGAAAGCCAGCAAGCAACGCCCAGCTGGAGAGCGCAACCGAGGGTAGTGACGACGGGCGACGGACAGACCGCCGATCGCCAAAGCCCGCGGCTAACTCCCCTGTCGTATCGCACCCCGCACCAGAGAGCGCGAGAAGGAGTACGCGAAATGGAGGAGAAGCGACACATTAGTTCGGATCCAGGAGGAACCCCGATCAACCCGCAATGGGCGAGCGAAGCAAGAGCGCGGTGGGAGACCAGATACGAAACCCGGTCGCCGAGGACGATGCCGGGAATGAGAAGGCAAGCCGGAGAAGAGAAGGAGGAGTGGGCTCAGCGGAACGACAGCGGGGGACAGCTGACCCCGCGAGACCGCGCGCTGATGGAAAGCAGAGTCGCGATCCCGACTGACGCACGGCCTCGCCCAGAATCTCCCAAGGCACATCGCTGGACCACCGCCGGACTGCCCAAGATCGAAGTCGCTGAGCGATTCACAGGAATTCCAGGAGTGGGACCGTCGCTGAAAAACTACCTTATGCAGCTGGAGACGGTCAAGTACTGTTGGGAGAGAGACGGCATGGATCCCGGTGAGTTCTTCAGACGCATGGTGGTGACGCTCTCGGGAGAAGCGTGAGAAGAAACGAGGAATGGAATGACTAAAGGAAAGTTGGGTACAAAAGCAAACCCTAGAAAACTGTACCCCATATGTGCTACCCCACTATAGCCTACAGTAGCTATGTCATATAAATCTGACACACCCCCATAGGCAAAGTGGGGGAGAACAAGGGGTCACAAGACCAGTCAAGCAAAGCAAAACAAGCTCAGGGTGGATCACAAAGTCACCACACATTCCGAGCACAAGTTCAAGGCCACAAGGCCAGTTCACATGCAGGATTGCATATATATATAAGGCTAGACAAGCAAGAGCAGGTGTATGTATATATGCAACAGTACAAGCAAGGTCAAGGGGTGAGCAAGTGAGGCAAGGTAGGCACAAGACCCAGCTGAGTACAGAAGCGCTGATGATCACAAGGCGGAAGTGCCTTGGTGAAGATATCAGCAGTGTTGGCCTCAGAGGCCACGTACGCAAGCCGTAGCTGACCACGCTGCTGTAGCTCACGAGCAAGGAAGTAGCGGAGAGCAATGTGCTTCGTTCTGTGCTCCAGTCTCTGCTCTCGACACAAGGCCAGCATGGCCTTGTTGTCTACGTACAGCACTGGAGGAGAACGAGGCGGCTCTCCGAGTTCAGTGAGCAGGTAGGTGAGCAAGCGAAGCTCCTGTGCAGCCATGGCCCCGGCGTAGATCTCAGCCTCACAACTGGAGCCGAGAACAGAAGACGAGCGGGTAGCCCGCCACGAAACAGAGCCGGAACCAAGGCTGAAGGTGTAACCCTATGACGACCGCTGCGTAGCCTGGTCGTCAGCCCAAGAAGCGTCTGCGTGCCCAGTGAGGACCACTGGACTCTGCCCTCCAAGCACAAGCCCCATGCCCGACGTACTGCACAAGTAGCGCAACACCCTCTTCGCTGCAGCCATGTGCTCCGGTCTGTGTCTCCCAGGAGCAACATAGCGTGCAAGAATGCTAAGAGGGTATGCAAGGTCAGGTCGTGTGCAGGTCATCAGGTACATGAGGCAGCCAACAAGCTCTGGGTACGGGCCACTCGACTCTACGGACTCATCCGAAGGCAGAGCTGAGAGCGAGTGGCGAGTAGGCAGAGGAGTGGCCTGAGGCGAGGAGTACGTGAAGCCGAAGCGCTGAAGGACCTGCTGCACCATGTGTGACTGAGTCAGGGTAATGGTGCGGCGTGCTCTGTCCCGGGTGATCTGCAAGCCAAGGTAGCTGCGCAGTTCACCCAGGTCTGTGCACGTGTGTCTCTTCTGCAGCTCGGACTTCACGTGGGCGAGTCCAGCAGTGTCAGCTGTGGAGAAGACCAAGTCGTCGACGTACACGAGGATGTAGAACGGCGGCAAAGAAGTGTCGGTGCGCAGAAACAGCGACGGGTCGGCAGTAGAGGGAGCAAACCCAAGAGCCGCAAGTGTAGTCCTCAGTGTGTCGTGCCACTCACGCGGTGCCTGGCGGAGACCGTAGACTGGCCGCCGAAGGCTCCACTGGGTGCCAGGAGGAAAGGACCC